TCTATGGTATTTAAAGCCATGAGACATATGAAATCAATGCAGCCAGAAACAGAAGCCACATATTTTAAAGTTCCTTTGATAGGTACTGGATAAATCCATACCCTTCCACCTTCCTCCTCAGTGCACCTGCCTCCATTTCCTTGTTGCTATGGTTTCTAATGCTTATATTCATCTCACTCTAGTTTTGATATGTGAGGTGTCCTAGATTGCTCTCCTCCAAGCAATCTATCTCCTTATAAACAAGATGAGGGCCAGGTGTGGGTAACTCACACCTGTAATCCCAGCACGTTGGGAGGCTAAGGTGGTCAGATCTCTTGAGCCCAGGAGATCAATACCAGGCAGGGCAACATAGTGAATCCCAATCTCAACAAAAAAATACAAAACTTAGCTGGGCATTGTATTGTGGCACGCACCTGTAGTCCCAATTACTCGGAAGGCTGAGAGGGGAGGATCGCTTCAGCCAGGGAGAGGGAGGTTGTAGTGAGCCAAGATCTCACCACTGCACTCCAGCCCGAGCCACAGACTGAGACCCTGTCTAAACTACACACACACACACACACACACACACACACACACACACAGAGAGAGAGAGAGAGAGAGAGAGAGAGAGAGAGAGAGAGATCATAGCTCTCTATAACCTGTCAATTGTATGTACAGTAGTGCCTAAGGTTCATAGAAGGTCATTAATGATATGAATATATGACCCAAATAATTAATGTCTTCAAGCTGTTAGTTGTTTATAAAGGGTGATTAGCAACTGTGTTTATAATGGTTAGCAGTGATAAGCATTTATTCAACCTAAAAACAAGAAATTCTAAGGTTTCTAAGTCATGACTTCAATGCCATACAGTACAGTGATTCTCAGCTTTGGTTTCCTGAAGTGGCATTTCAGGAGGGTTGACTGTGGAGCCAGCCCACCTGAGTTTGAATCCAGACTTAACAACTTCATGTTGAGAGAAGCAATCAGCCATGGGTCCTGAGTGTCCCTACATGTTCTTGTGGAGTGTGACAAAAATTCAAGGCCAGGATCACTGTTTACCCAGGCCATTTCTCAGGGTTGTGTTTGCACCAGGAAACTGCAAAGGTTGAGATGTGTTCTCACTGAAACAAAGAGCAGGCTTTCTTTGGTTTACCATAGAAGCAGTAAATTCCTCATGTCCAGGCATCCATGTAGGCTCACTTCTGTTTCCCCTGCACGAAACTGGGGGCTTGGGAAATTGGCACAAACTTGAAGTGCTGGCTACTTCTCTTGCTATGTGTCCTTTGACCCAGCATCCAAGAAACAGTGACTAACTCATTAGTTTGTACATAGAGTAAATTACCAGACTCCTCACAGTTCCTGATACTTAGCAGCTGTATGACTTTGAGACACAGAGGTTTCTTAACCTACGTTTCACTTTCCTCACTTGGGAAATGGGATATTAGTAGTTTTTTTTTTTTTTGAGACGGAGTTTCGCTCTTGTTACCCAGGCTGGAGTGCAATGGCACGATCGTGGCTCACCGCAACCTCCACCTTCTGGGTTCAGGCAATTCTCCTGCCTCAGCCTCCTGAGTAGCCGGGATTACAGGCACGCGCCACCATGCCCAGCTGATTTTTTGTATTTTTAGTAGAGACGGGGTTTCACCATGTTGACCAGGATGGTCTCGATCTCTTGACCTCGTGATCCACCCGCCTCGACCTCCCTAAGTGCTGGGATTACAGGCATGAGCCACTGCGCCCGGCCCGGATATTAGTAGTTTTAACATCAAAGGTTCTTGCAAGAATTAAATAAAATAATGTATATAAAGTACTTAGCAAACAGTGCCTCGCGTATAATAAGCACAAAATAAATGTTAGCTAATTAGTAATTAACTATTTCTAAAATTTCCAAATAGCTAATGATAATTACACATTAATAATGTCTCCTAGGTATTACATAATTACTCATTTTACATAGTAGGAGAAAAAATACTTTTAAAGTAAAGCATAATATAAGCAAATACTTATACTAAATTATTTAATCTTCACAGATGGTATTATTATGCCCATTTTACAGATAAAGAAATTAGCACAGAGAGGTTAAGTAATATTTTCAAGAACACAGAGCTAGTAAGCAGTAGATCTGGGATCCAAATCCAGGCAGTCTAGATCCAGAAGCCATGCCCTTAACCACTAACTTGTGCTATATCTTAGCGTAGGAGTCCATGAGGGTTTGGAGAGAGAAAAGAAAAGGGGTCCTAGTGGTTAAGACAAAGTCTAAAAATTGATCTCCCTGCAGATGAGAAAGCTAAGACCCAGGAATGCCTCATGGTAAGTTAGTGGTAGTCAGATCCAGAATTTAACAACTTTGTCGTCAGATACATTAACAGAGAATGTCTATTTTTCTTAAGTGAGAAACATGACTATGATTTAAAATAGAGTAGAAAATATTCAGCAATATTTTTCTTCACCCATCTAGAATAAGGAGCTAATTTTGTTGTTTCCTAATATCCTCTCATATGTATATATTAATATGCTCTACTTGCATACATAAATATATACAAACTCTCATTGCAACAAATATTAAATGTAAATAACAAAGCAAACATATTAAAGTGTGAAGTGTAAAATGTAAAATTCCAACCCAAACAGTTTGGAAAGCAACGGTTTGAAAAGACTTTTCAAAATTGTTTTTTATTATTGTTATTGTTCATTTTGTTGTTGTTTTTAAGAGAGTAATATGTGCTTACTAGAAAAAAATCTAACAGAACAGAAGGGGATAAAATAAGAAGTAAAAGTATTCCAGACACTCTAATTTTATTTCTCATTGTTAGGCAGTTTACCTTTCCAGGAATTGTCTATAAAGCTACATTTACATTATATATATACATTTAAATTTGTTTACAATTATACTAATGTCTTTCATAAACTATATTTCTGTTTAAACTTTAATACTATATTACGACTTGTTTCTATATATGTGTTTAACATTTATTTTGATGTAAAATATGATTCTGCCACATTCTTTTCAACAACTTCACAGCAATTTCTTTGCAAGGCTAAGCCACATTGTGGTCAACTGTTGCTCTATTGATGGACATTTAAGCTGCCTCTAGTTTTTTACTGCTAAAAATAGTGCTACAACAAATATCTTATACATCTATCTCCGTATATATGTGTAAGTATACTGAAAATGAGTTCCCAGAATTAGAATGGATAAGTCAAAGGGCATACAGATCTTAATTTTGTTAAATTCCATCAAACTGCTTTCTATTACAGCCACAAGAACTGTCCCTTGACTGTTTCCTTACATCCTCATAGTGTTTTATGAGTCTTAATTATTAAATATCCCTTTGTTGTGTGTTGTACTTATATTTCTCATTATATGTTTGATATTGTTTATGTTTTCTTTTACTATATAGAGGTTTTAGATTGTTAGGTAGTGACATTTATCGATCTTTTTGTTTATGGGAGTTTCCAACTTTCCTGATATGCTTCGAAACACCTCTCACATGAAACATAAATACATAAATTCATCCATAAATGCATAAATGAGACAGATCTGTAACTGTTGATAGCAAACAATTGGACACACAGTCCTCAGTGTAAAAGCCAATCATAAAAGAGTATGCACAATGCTACAGGTACATCTACATATTTGTGTATGTCTAGAACACCCCATTGGCCTGGAGATGGGGTGAGTAGATGGCGGATTATTCTTCATTCTTTTTACTATTTGAACTTTTAAAAATGTATTATCTATTCAAATGTAAATGTTTTAGTCTTAACTGTTTAAAAATAAAAGAGCAACCTCTATCATGTTTGCACACAAAAAACGTCCCCTTTGGCCGGGGCACGGTGGCTCACGCCTGTAATCTCAGCACTTTGGGAGGGTGAGGCAGGCGAATCACAAGGTCAGGAGTTTGAGACCAGCCTGACCAACATGGTGAAATCCTCGTCTCTATTAAAAATACAAAAATTAGCTGGGTGTGGCGGCACACACCTGTAGTCCCAGCTACTCAGGAAGCTGAGGCAGAAGAATTGCTTGAACCCGGGGGGCGGAGGTTGCAGTGAGCTGAGATCGTGCCACTGCACTTCAGCCTGGGCGACAGAGCGAGACTCCGTCCCCCCACCAAAAAAGTTCCCCTTTCACCTACAATACATTTCATGCCCTACCATTTAAAGCTTAATATATTTAGAATGTTAGTATAATTAGTAAGGCAGGGATCCAGTCTTGCCTTCTACCAGATAGGTCTGTTGAATTTTTAAGTTTGTTAAGAGGCAAAGACCAAGGGTAGAGAGGAAGGAGTGAGAGTGCCAGGTGACGAAAGTCTAAAATCTCTCGACTTATTAGGAGAATGGTCGCCACGGAAGGCTAAAAGTCTTCTAGTGCCAGATTTGAGCTATGCACACATCTTCTATGCAATTACTGTGATAAGCACTCGGGGTGTAGGGTGAGGTGTACCTTCTAGCTTGATGCTGCTGCTAAGTCCCAAATAAGATGGGCGGAGCCAGAAAAGGAGCAGAGAAAGATGAGACGCTTCGCACGGGGTGTGTGTGTGTGTGTGTGTTTGAGACACAGTCTCCCACTGTCGCCCAGGCTGGAGTACAATGGCACAAATCTCGGCTCACTGCAACCTCCGCCTTCCGGGTTCAAACATTTCTCTTGCTTCTGCCTCCCGAGTAGCTGGGATTATAGATGCCCTCCACTACGCCAGGCTAATTTTTTGTGTTTTTATTTTTTAGTACAGACGGGGTTTCACTATGTTGGCCAGAATGGTTTCGAGCTCCTGACCTCGTGATCCGCCCGCGTCGGCCTCCCAAAGTGCTGGGACTACAGGCGTGAGACACCGCGCTCGATTGCTTCGCACAGTTTTTAAAAGTCAAGGCGGAACATTCCTCCCGGACCAGGCAGCTCCAGGAGCCCAGGCGGGAATCGCTGCCCGGCACACAGAACCCAGAGTCCAGCGCGGCTATCACCGGCTCTAGGCTGGGTCTAAGCGTCCGGCCAGGAGGCCGCAATCAGCAGCTGTCCTCCTACCTGTATACGAAACATAAGTATTCTCGCCGAAGTGCTTGCCCAGCCTCCTAAGAAGCAGCTTCTAAACTCGCCGCTTTCTCCGTTGTTGGTCGTATCATAGCAACGGCCCTAGCACCACCTCTTCCGGCCAGGGCACGACAGGGGCGGTCGTGGGGCGGGGTCGGGAAGGAAGAGCGCGGCAAGGGAGAAGGGGAGGGGCCAGAGGAGGAGGGCGGGATCGGGATGGAAGACCGGGGTGGGGAAGGAGGAGCCAGAGGAGGCAGGCGGGGGGGCCCTGCAACGGAGGAACGCGGCAGAGGAAAGGGGGTGGGGCCAGAGGTGAGGGGCAGGGCGAGGAGGAGCTACAGGCGAGGATAAGGAGTCAGAAGTGAAGGAGATTGTCGGAGACGCAGAAGGGAAAAGGGGAAGAACTAGGGGTGACGGTATGGGGAGGAGGAACGTGGCAGGACAAAGGGGAGGACGCAGAAGCCAGGATTCAGGGAGGAGCGGAAGTAAAGGGACAGGGAAGAGACGCGACAGGGAGAAGAGGAGGAGCCACAGGCAAAGGTGGAGGGAGGAAGAACGCGGCAGGGGAAGGGGCGGGGCTAGAGGCGAGGGGGCGGGGAATGGACTCGGCAGGGGGAAGGGGAGGGACCAGAGGCGAGTGGGGAGAGGAGGGACCCGGCAAGGAGAAGGGGCGGTGCCAGCGGCGAGTGGGCGAGGAGAAGGGAAGCGGCAGGAAGACTGCGAGGAGCCAGAGGCTTAGCGGGCGGGAAGGAGGGATGCGGAACGGGGAAGGGGAGGAGCCAGAGGCGGAGGCGGTGGCGGAGGGCCACCGTGCCTCGGACGAAGGGGACTTTTTTTGTATGCAAACATGATAGAGGTTACTCTTTTATTTTTAAACAGTAAGACTAAAACATTTACATTTGAATAGATAATGCATTTTTAAAAGTTCAGCTGGTTACCTAGATGCCAAAGTGAATCAGGACAGTAACCTCTCCAAGATCTTTAACACTTGTGAAAGCGCACAGCTCCCTAAACCAGACAGCAATTTAATCTTATAGATATAAAAAATCAGAGAGAAAACATTAGTATGAAGTCAGAGGCGCAAAACTGTCAAAAGGAGAACGCACGTGTATAACAGCAGGTGCCTACTTGCTTTTGTTAAATTTACAACTTGGGTCTCAGCTTCCCGTCAGCCAGAGAGACATGGGAGACAGTAGCTGTCAAATAATTCTCCTTAGAAGCAGAACTTTTGTTAATCACTAAATTAGTTAATAAACTAAATTTTGTACATCAATATATCAATAAATCGTTTTTGTTGTTGTCGTTGTTTTGTTTTTGGACAAAGTCTCGCTGTCGCCCAGGCTAGAGCGCAGTGGTGTGATCTTAGCTCACTACAACCTCCACCTCCCTACTCCAGCAATTCTCCTGCGTCAGCCTCCTGATTAGCTGAGATTACAGGCGCCCGCCACCACCCCAGGCTAATTTTTTTTTTTTTTTTTTTTTTTTTTTTTTTTTTTTTTTTTTGTAAAGACGGGTTTTCACCATGTTGGCCAGGGTGATCTGAAACTCCTAGTCTCAAGCAATCCGCCTCGAAAAATGCTGGAGATTACAGGAGTGAGCCACCGCGCACAGACTAAAGAAAATGTTTAAAGAAACACAGGATAGTACTGAAGATCGGGTCAACTAAGTTTCTCTTGGAAATTTAGTAACAAACTACACGTTGCTATCTCATAATAGCACATAACATTTATTAGGTATTAATTGTCACGAAGCACCTTACATAGATTTCTAATTTAATCCTTACAACGATTTTATTAGGGAGAAACTGCTATTAGATCCATTTTGTAAATGAGAAAACTAAGGCATACAAAGTTTAATGAAGGAACTAGAATTAAACCCAAGCAATTTAACTCCAGGTCCCAGATTTTTAACCACTTTTACTGTACTGTTTAATATGCTTTGATATTTTTAAAGGATTAATAAAATTAGTACAGGTCCATTCCCTTATTCATAAATGTTCATTGTCTTCATCTATTTATTCTGTTCTGCTGAAATTGCACTCTGATCTCTCCAATATCTTTGTGGTGTCCATTTTTTTAGTCATCTCGTTTTAAAATATATTTTTACTAGAATAGTGAAATACATATTTTCCGATAAAATTGGCTTTGTTTTAATAATGACGTTAAGTAAAAGTAAATGCATTTTAATCATTTCCACACATTCAAGAAAAGAAAAGGGGAAAGTGGGCATTGAAGTAACCACTAGCGTTAATTAGCCTTTCTTGGTTGGGTAGACCAGGTGTGGAGGTGTGCAGGTAAGATTTTATGAACAGTCATCCACTCCCATCTCCAAAATCATAATTTATCTTACATTCTGCTACTAATTAAAATTCCACTGATTTTAAACATTCACTCTTCTGGGTCTCCTCTTTAAAATCTATCATTTACTGTTCTCAATGTTAGAGACCATATGCAAACAGTAAGTTTATTCCAGTCAGGAGATGGGGAAAGAAAAACTGGTAGGAGAGAACTTCCAGTGTCTCGCAGTGTTAAATGTGATTTGATGTCCACTATTCGTTTTTGTTTTTGTTTTCGTTTTCGTTTGTAGTTTGCTGTGAGGATGACTTTATACAATTCAATCTTAAATAGGAACCTAACTTAATAGTTATGCTTCCTTGAGTAGTCTGTGGAACCTGGAAAGGTTATTAGCCTATCAAAATCCTGCCCACATGCACATACACACACATACACACAAATGTAGTTTGGTTACATAATAAATCTATACTCAAACTGAATGAAAACAACCAATAGGAAAAGCTTCTCAACTCCAAAAGTGGAAGAGTAATTTTACAATACCATTTTCCTTTTCACGATAAAGTTAGACGTTTTTTTCAGGACTTATGCACCAAATGACTTTGTATTTCTCATGAAACATCAACTTTCATTCATCTCAGCATTTATTTATGTAATAAACATTTCTTTTGATGTGCTTTTATTTTTACAAAGATGCCACCTAGTGGCTTAATAAAATCAAGCATGTCAAAATATTTCCTGTTACTCCAGACTGAACTGAATAATGAAATTTTAAATATTAAAATTTAGAAAACTAAGGACCTGAAAATTTTTGTTTTGAAAATTGTCTATGTATATTAAATTTGGATCATAATACTGCCTTGTGAACTTGTTAAGAGTCTGGAAATATAGGTCCATAATCCCTTTTCTGAAACCTTTTGGGACCGATGTGTTTGACATTCAGAATTTTTCAGATTTCTGAAAGGAAATGTGGGCATATATTTTACATTACGTAACACATTCAGAGGGTCTGAGGAAGCAATTCAGAATCAAATACATTGATAAATCTGTGGCAAAATATATTCATATTCACATTAAAGTGGGATAAATACCACAAATAACCTCACGTAATTCAGATGAGGTTGGTTGCCAAATGAGTTATGAAAAAGCTTTATTTTCAGAGATTTATGAAGTTAGGAATTTAGATGAGGGATTGTGGACCTGTTTTACTCTGGTGAAAAAGAATTCACCCTCTAGTTACAGAGAGATTAAAATGCCAATATTTTGTAATAAAGAAGTAATACTCTTTAGAAAAACTAAAAGATTCACGTAAAACAAAGCACTTGAGGATCATGAGAAATACCAAAATAGAAATTTTTGCAATGCTTTTCATTTAATCACATTCAGAAGCCAATCTATCATAAATTACATTTAATTGTACCACAAAAAAATTAGCTGCTAATGTAAACCTAAAGATTAATTTGAAAATTATTAGTTATGCATGGCAAGTTCAATTCATAAATTTTGTGGCAGTAAAAAAATTTTTTAACCTTGGTTTTCTTTCATTTCTACGTGTAATTTGTCATGTTCCATTTCCCCAACACCACCATGTTCAGGGAAATATGTGTTGATGGTCCCATGCTCAGCCTGGATTCCTTGTATATCCATGAGCACTCCTTGCCAAACCTCCTTTCACATGCAGTATGAATGAAAAATACACTTATATTAAGACACTGGGATTTGGCGGGGCTGAGTAGGCGGCGACCCGGCAGCTGCGTGAGTGTTTGTGTTGAAACCTCAGCTGATGCAGGCCGGCCGGAGTGGACGTCAATGCCGGGAACAAGCGAGTCGCCGCCGCCGCCCTAGTGACTGTGGCCTGCATCCCGTAATGCAAGAAGCCTTTGTGGGAAGCAGAGAAGCAAGCAGCTGCATTTCTTGTTCTCACCTAAGCATTACTGGAGGATAAGTCACATCAGTCTACAAAGAGGTTTTCATACAAACAAAGTGAGATGTAAATGGACCAAAAGTGAAGCACATTCTTGCAGTAAGCACTGTTACTCGCCAAGCAACCATGGTTTACATATTGGAATTCTGAAACTTAGCACGTCTGCTCCCAAGGGACTTACAAAAGTGAACATTCGTATGTCCCGTATTAAAAGTACTTTGAACTCTGTTTCCAAGGCTGTTTTTGGCAATCAAAATGAAATGATTTCACGTTTAGTTCAATTTAAGCCAAGTTCTCGAATTTTAAGAAAAGTATCAGATAGTGGCTGGTTAAAACAGGAAAACATTAAACAAGCCATCAAATCTCTGAAAAAATATAGTGACAAATCAGTAGAAAAGAGTCCTTTTTCAGAAGAGAAAAGTCACATTATAGACAAAGAAGATACAGGTAAACACAGTCTTTTTCATTACACAAATACTATAACCACAAAATTTGGAGAGTCATTCTACTTTTTGTCAAATCATATTAATTCATATTTCAAACATAAAGAAAACATGTCTCAAGAAAAAGAAAATAAACATTTCCAGGATGAATCAGAACTTGAAGATAAAAAAGTTGAAGAGAGGAAAGTAAGTTCTCCAGATCCTGCCATCCTGGCTGATAAGCCAGGCTCAGAATCTTTAGATACTGTGGACAAGCCTGTGAGTCCTGGTGCGATACCTGATGTTCTTCCAGTTTCAACTAAACAAAGTATTGCTAACTTTCTTTCTCGTCCCACGGAAGGTGTACAAGCTTTAGTAGGAGGTTATATTGGTGGACTTGTCCCCAAATTAAAGTATGATTCAAAGAGTCAGTCAGAAGAACAAGAAGAGCCTGCTAAAACTGATCAGGCTGTCAGCAAAGACAGAAATGCAGAGGAGAAAAAGCGTTTATCTCTTCAGCGAGAAAAGATTATTGCAAGAGTGAGTATTGATAATAGGACCCGGGCGTTAGTTCAGGCATTAAGAAGAACAACTGACCCAAAGCTCTGCATTACTAGGGTTGAAGAACTGACTTTTCATCTTCTAGAATTTCCAGAAGGAAAAGGAGTGGCTGTCAAGGAAAAAATTATTCCATATTTATTACGACTGAGACAAATTAAGGATGAAACTCTTCAGGCTGCAGTTAGAGAAATTTTGGCCTTAATTGGCTACGTGGATCCAGTGAAAGGGAGAAGAATCCGAATTCTCACAATTGATGGTGGAGGAACAAGGGGCGTGGTTGCTCTCCAGACCCTACGAAAATTAGTTGAACTTACTCAGAAGCCAGTTCATCAGCTCTTTGATTACATTTGTGGTGTTAGTACAGGTGCCATATTAGCTTTCATGTTGGGGTTGTTTCATATGCCCTTGGATGAATGTGAGGAACTTTATCGAAAATTGGGATCAGATGTATTTTCACAAAATGTCATTGTTGGAACAGTCAAAATGAGTTGGAGCCATGCATTTTATGACAGTCAAACATGGGAAAACATTCTTAAGGATAGGATGGGATCTGCACTGATGATTGAAACAGCAAGAAACCCCACATGTCCTAAGGTAGCTGCTGTAAGTACCATAGTAAATAGAGGGATAACACCAAAAGCTTTTGTGTTCAGAAACTATGGTCATTTTCCTGGAATCAACTCTCATTATTTGGGAGGCTGTCAGTACAAAATGTGGCAGGCCATTAGAGCCTCATCTGCTGCTCCAGGCTACTTTGCAGAATATGCGTTGGGAAATGATCTTCATCAAGATGGAGGTTTGCTTCTGAATAACCCTTCAGCATTAGCTATGCATGAGTGTAAATGTCTTTGGCCAGATGTACCATTAGAGTGCATAGTATCCTTGGGCACTGGACGTTATGAGAGTGATGTGAGAAACACGGTGACACACACAAGCCTGAAAACCAAACTTTCTAATGTTATCAACAGTGCTACAGATACAGAAGAAGTCCATATAATGCTTGATGGCCTGTTACCTCCTGACACCTATTTTAGATTCAATCCTGTAATGTGTGAAAACATACCTCTAGATGAAAGTCGAAATGAAAAGCTGGATCAGCTGCAGTTGGAAGGGTTGAAATACATTGAAAGAAATGAACAAAAAATGAAAAAAGTTGCAAAAATATTAAGTCAAGAAAAAACAACTCTGCAGAAAATTAATGATTGGATAAAATTAAAAACGGACATGTATGAAGGCCTTCCATTCTTTTCAAAATTGTGATCAGTATATGCATATGTTCTGATAAATGAAGGCCTGTTCAGAAGACTCACCAAATTCAATAAGGAATTGTGGGTTCAACTTGTTTTAACTTTAAAATACTTATGAATTCTGGAGAATCCTGAAAAAGATGGTGCTTTGACTAGCTTGCACAGCAGAGAGAATATTCTTGATTACAGAATTCATAATGGGAATTAGGCTTTTAAGATGTTAATAATTAACTAAGCTTTAGTAATCTTACTGTGGTTTTAGTAAATTTTGGTGTTATATTGTTTGATGTTTGAAAATTTATTAATATATGTGCTGAACAAGAAACTGAAAGCTATATTGTACTTTGTATTTTTACTTTAGTCCTCATTATCATGTTGAATTTATGTGATCATTGATTTTATTTCATATGGAAAAGCTAATTTCTTCTTAAATTTACATTACCTGATATTCTCACTAGCTACGTTCTGCAGTCCACACTGCCTTTATTGTAATAGCATCTAAATAGATGAAGAAAAATGGAATTTTCTCCATTAAAATATTTTACATTTGAATATAAAAGAACCAGATACAGTTTTCTATTCAGATGTGTTTAACATTGGTTAAAAAGGATAGGTGAAGTTCCAGTCAACTACTTTTTCCCCCTGAAATTTCAGCTGTATTAACTTTTCTAGATCTAACACTAGCTTATCCCTCCCTGTTATAAAATGGTTTGAACTTACTGAGAAAATATTCCTATCATTAACGAAAATAAACTTTTTAAGTAATCTGTTAAAAAAAAAAAAAAAAAGACACTGGGATTTAATGATAACCCATGCTAAATCACTACATTACTCACTACTTTACTTCACTGTCTTGAATACTGGCTCATCTCTAGGAGCTCTCAAGTAAATTCTTCCTGTCCCCATTAATCATTCAAACCCCTTATCATATTCCCACTGTGATTTCCTGTGAATTTTGTCTAAAACAAAACATCAACCTCCTCTAAACCCAACTGGTAGCCTCATTTACTTTTGTCTAAAATAATTGGCATTACTAAACTATTGTTGTAGCATAGGCTACAATCTCATTGTACACTGAGTTTTTGGTTTTTTGTTTTTGCTTTTAGCAGAGACGGGCTTTCACCATATTGGCCAAGTTGGTCTCGAACTCCTGACCTCAAGTGATCTGCTCATCTCGGCCTCCCAAAGTGCTGGGATTACAGGCATGAGCCACTGTGCCTGCCCTTGAATACTTAGTTTTAATGGGAAGACAGCACTCAGCAGATCCAAAATATTTGAGTTATGTTTAGCAATTTGGTGCTTAATCCTATACCCCACAACATACTTGCATAGGGTGTCAACTTCTGTTTGTTTACGTAATCATAGAGGATGGGAAGAAAAAGAAAAAGCTGACAGCCTACATGTAGGAATTTTCCTATATATTGTTATCTCCTTTTTAAAAAAGATAACATTAATAAATAGTTACTGGCTTCATTAGCTTCCCTCCTCTGACTAGGATTAGAAAATCGACAATAAAATATAAGCTCCCTTTTTTTCCATCCCCTAATTCTGAGGGAAAGGGAAGGAGAGGGGAGAATGAGGGAGAGTGAACGGACACAATGAAACCTGAGGTCTGACTGCACAAAACTGCTACTGCAGGAATCAATTCATTCTATTCTGATGACAGACTACTTGATCTACTGGTGTAGGAAAGATGGCAAACTTGAGACCTGAGCCTTACTCCACTAGGGTGCCATATATCCTATTAGCCCAGGACAGTCATGGTGTATATCTGTTATCCTTGTGTAACTATTTTCACTCAAAATCATTCCAAGTGGAATGATAAATTATGCTATATTTAGTTATCCTAAATATAAGCCAATTTCATCCCAAAGGAAAGAATGCCAAGAGATTGGAATTGTCAGCACTAAGTCCCACTGTGGGAGAAAGGGGACATCAACTTTGTTGCCATTTCTTCTTTCTTAGCAAAGGTCAGACTGATTAGCTTCTCTTTCTTCTGAAATATCTGGAGTATGGTGATTAACTAGAATGAAACCCATGAGGAGAACTGAAGTAGACCATTCTGAAAATTATTCAAATTAGTTTAGTAGCCACTCAAAACACTGAAGATCCCTGAATAAAAGATTCATTTGCTAGAGACTTAACCTGGACGTTTATAGGAAGCAACTGGGAAAACACTGAAGGAGAAAAAACGATCAGGTGTAAGGTTGTGTGAGCAACTGAGACAGGAGGAAGAATCAAGGACCAAATTGCAATACCTTTTAGATACCTATCCCATCAATATAATCTGCCTATTACCAATATGCAGCTCTTTGCACAAAATGAAATCCAGTTCACTACATCTGCTCATATTTGTTCTTTACAGATATTTGATGGAAAAAGACAGCAGGATCTAGGTTCATTTGGTTCTGCCCATACAGCACAGGCAGGAGTGACAACATCTCAAGCACAGTCATAAATAACGTAACAGGAGTATCAGTTCTAGAACTAGGCTGCCTGGGTTCAAACTCTAGCTTCACATCTTACTAGCTATGTGACCTTAGATTTGTTATTAAATCATCTCTTGGTTTCAGAATCCCTAAAGCCCCAACGTGCATAACTGCAGGGAAAAACTACTCACATGGGGTTCTGGTTTCTTATCTGGAAAATGAAGATAATTTGCAGGATCATTCTTAGGGTTGCAGTGCAGGTTTAATGAGTGAAATTAGTCTGGCATTCATATAATGGTGCCTGGGATTCATATTATAGTCTCAACAAACATTAGCTATTATTTTTATAGTATTATTTTTCAATGACTATTATTCTACAACTAGCATTTCTAATGCAAACACCAGTAAGGTCCCCGTTTGCAACAAAGTTCAGTAACACTGTTGGTGAAACATAAAAGATGCCCAAGAATCATGGCAGAAATGGGACTGACAGTATGACAAAAACACAGCAAGCCCTCTTGTTTCTGTGTTTCCCAAAGGATCTGAAAATAAATGGTTGGCTAGAAAATTACCTTGAAAGTATCCATGCAAACACACTTTAGGATCATGTTTTAATAAATATATATTCAAGAAATGTTTAGAAATGAAAATGTTGTTATAAATCATATTCTACTTCTTTTACAGCATTAGAAATAGGCCATTCTGAGAAACAGGCCAAACTTGTCTAATTTAGTCACTGAGTTAACGATACTAGAACCATGAGAATGAGAACCCCAGAATGAGAACCCCAGGGCTTCTAACTCCGCCTCTAACATTTCCCCACCAGAAGGAGCCTTCTTGCACTCTAACCTCTTAAGAATGTACCTTATTTAATACTTATTTAGTATTCATGTTACAGCTCTGTGAGGGGAGAAGTATACTGGAAAGAAGGAAAAATATCATTTTTTTCCTCATTCTAAGCAAATATGCTTACACACACACACACACACACACACACACACACACACACACACACACAAAAACCCCACAAAAGTATAATATTATCTATGAAGGAAAGAGATACCACGTTTAATTTAACCAAGTATTTAGAAATGACAAAGAGCTAGGAAGAAAAGGCAAAACACATGTAATTTTATTTTTGTTTAATTTTAAGCTTGCCAACTTCTTTCCCTGAACAGCATTTGTCTTGTTTTTATACCCACCTACCCTTATATTAGAAACATACTGCAAACTACTTAGTGATTCCACTTTGAATTTATAGTCGTACGACTAAGATGTTTTGAATATAAGCCCACCCATATGCCAGATATAAATTACAGGAACTCTTAATGTCTCTTCTTTTACAGAAATTCTAACTCTATCCTGATGTAATTAGGTTGATTAAGAAAATTAAAAGGTTAGGGGCCAGAAAACTAACTTACACAAATACAACAAAAGGAAAAGGTTTTCCAAGTACCTCTATGCAATGAGAAATATTTCTTTCAAGTACCAAGTCAATTTCTTCAACTGTACAATGTATTCTAATTTAATGGTTTTCAAATATAATATAGTAACAACAAAATGTAATAAAATTAAGACTATAAGAAAACAGAGTAAATGGTATAATTCAAATAATGACTAAAACAAAATGGCATTATGGATGTTGTAATCAATGTATAACTATATATTTAAATTTTACTTTACACCCGTAAGATCACAGTTAAGGAGGTTAACCATAATTTCAAATTTTATTACCAGTCATTTGTGCTATTTTATCACACTTGAAAATATCACTCTTATTTTTTACCTTAAACAGTGATCTATAAATTGTTTAGACCATAATAATTAAGGACCTTTTCTTTTCTTCTTCAGGATAATTTTAAAAATGAATGATATATTGAACATACTACTAAAGAAACCTTATTTTTTGATCATGGCCTCTACATTGAAGATCTGTAGGAATTTTTCTAATTAATTATCAAATCTTTCCATGACGTCTCTGTTCATAGAAATATCATCTTTGAAATAATTTGTGTGACTACAAATCAAAAATGGATTCACATGACCGAATTATCCTAATCACTAATTTAACAGATTCCTAGATATTTTCTATATCAGTTTTCTTGATTATGTCAATAATATAAACACACTCTTAATAGAACAGAATATTTAATTACATCAGTTTCCCATCAACCCACCAAAATCACTTAATTATATTGGCCATTTCCACTGATCTGCAGGAGGCTCTTCCACTAATGGCTCCCATGTTTTCCACTGCACCATTTTTCTTGCCAGACTTAGTTCACGTTCAGCCTGTTAATACAAATTTTTTTAAAAATCACTGGATTTTACTCTTCAACAGGTATTTATCAGAACAACCGCATTTTAACTATTAGAGTTACTATTTCATATTAATACCTCATAATCTATTCCACCATAATAAATTGAACATTAAGTAATTAAATTACCTTAATTCTCACAGCTACACAATCAGGAGTAAGAAAGGGTATCTTTTGATGTCTTCTATTTGACTGAAATCAGCTACAGTGTTTAAAAGTTTAGTTGGTGAGTTTTTTATCTTAATGTTTCACAAGTTTTTTGAGAATCAGGAATACGTTTTTTCATCTATGTTAGTGGCTTTCAAACTTTACCCACAGTAAGAAAATTATGTTTTATTATGGGTTCCACACTACAAATATATAACTAAAATTTTTAAAATCATTATCTTTACAAGCAATGATATACTCTTTTTTTCTACTGTATTTTTTTTAATGCTAATCACTATCCATCTAACTGATTCCATGACTCACAGTCACTTGAGACCCAGAGTTTATAAAACAGTGATCTGCAGAATGTAGAACACAATAAATGTATAATAAAGATTTACTAACTGAATAAAATCCTTAATCAAATTATATTTCATTTAATTTTTCCTTTCAAATACAACTTATAAACAAACACATTTTAAATAGCTTTTTATTTCATATTTTTTCTACAACAACAAAGACCTATGCCAACTCTAGCCAACCTATAAGATGAATTATTAAACACCTGTTAGGCTGTTAGAGAAGAAATTAAAACACAGAATAGGTGCTCAGATTATATTAGAGGTTATTATTATTCTACAGTTAAAAGATAATGCCCCATTTATACTAGCGGTCCCAAAAGTTAATCTATGTTTACGAGCAACTATAAGAAAAACAATGAGTTAAAGAGGAGATGAATGAAAATCAGGGTAGAAGTATTACTAATGTCAAAAGGAGAAAATAATTTAAATACTGATAAAATATTTCCTAAGGATAGCTGCTTCCCTGACCACCTTCTGCCCTCAGTCTCTTGAACATCCAGTGCTTTCTCAGTCTCCTTCAGGGATTGTGGGGCTTGAGGAGGGGATCTAGCCCTCATTCATCACTGAGAATCAGCTATATTTCAGGAAGCTGGACCCAGCTGCACCTGGCCTCTGATGCCTATTTCCTCCTTATTCTCTGGCTTCTGACACACTGTCATACTATCCATTTAGAATGGGACTGTCTAGTATGTTAGCCACTAACCATAAATGGCTACTGAGGACTTGAAATGCAGCTAGTCCAAATTGATATGCGCTGCAAAGTGTAAAATACATACCAGATTTTGATGACTTCACATAAAAAATGTACAGTATCTCAATATTTTTATGATTATATTTTTAAATAACATAGATACAGTGGGTTAAAAAATTACTAAAATTAATTTACCCTTAATAGTGGCCATGAGAATGTGAGGAACTGCACAGTTGACTTAAAATGCTTTATATGCCTTAAAACTTAATTCCATAATAAACTAAATAAAGTCATGATCAAAGTGAAATCAGGGGTACAGAAAGGAGGAATAGGTATAGGACAACAGTAAAAGGTTTGCAGCAAGTTCCCATGATACTGTACCTAGTACCATAGCCAATCTGATAAATGAATATAAAGGCTGGGAAAATAGGCCTTTGAATAACTGAAGCAGTCTACATTCATAAAAAGCTGTCTGAATGCTATATTCCTCTTTTTCCAGAGCCATCTAACAATTCTTTTGATTTGGTGTATCATGTCTGTTGTTGATATACCTCCCTAATCTTCAATATTACCCAGTATTTCCTTTTATCTGCCCTTCAATCAACAGTAAGAAAACATTAGAAAGGGTTACATTTGAAAAAAGATACACGAAATAAAAACTAAATAAAACAACTGAATATTTATCAGTTGCTTATAAGACAAAGACATTCTAAACCTAAAATATGGGGATGGCGGGGATGTGGAACAACAGAATTTCACCAAATAAAAAAAATTTGAAAACCTCTACATATGAGGGAAAAAAGAAACCCATTTGAGAGGCAAAAACAGGCTAGAAAAAGTACCTGCAGACAGTCTCATAAAAGTTTAAGGCTAATACGTTATATAAAGACACATATATATAAATAACACAAAGACTAAATGACAGAGTAAAAATATTAATGATACAATTTATAAAATATAAGAACATATTTTTAAAGTTTGACCTTACTAGCAATTGGAAAAAAGATGCAAAACTTAATAAAAAAGGCATGATTATTTTCCCATAGATGCTTTAAAAATCAACTATGGAATACTCAAAATAGTGTATTTCCAGCCTGTTTACATCAGTAACCTATCTGTTTCTATAAGCTACCTATGATCAAAGGAAAAGAACTGAAATTCAGATTAAACAAAATAAAGCTGCAGGGTTTGTTCTTTTTTTTTTTTTTTTTTTTTTGAGACGGAGTTTCGCTCTTGTTACCCAGGCTGGAGTGCAATGGCGCGATCTCGGCTCACCGCAACCTCCGCCTCCTGGGTTCAGGCAATTCTCCTGCCTCAGCCTCCTGAGTAGCTGGGATTACAGGCACGCGCCACCACGCCCAGCTAATTTTTTGTATTTTTAGTAGAGACAGGGTTTCACCACGTTGACCAGGATGGTCTCGATCTCTTGACCTCGTGATCCACCTGCCTCGGCCTCCCAAAGTGCTGGGATTACAGGCTTGAGCCACCGCGCCCGGCCTGTTCTCTTTTATAAGTAGCAGGTACATTGAGAGGTGAAGAAAATTTCCCAACAGAATAATTTAAGATTTAAATATCCTAAATGTAATTAATAATGTTAACAATTTTTCTAATCTCAGTCTCTTCATAATCATGCTTACATTTTACTACTCAGTATTTTTTGTCAGGGTATTTGGGAAATAATATAGAATTAAGCTCTCAAATATACTATGCAATTGTTTTTTAACTTGGTCAAATGCTCCTAAAACCAAAACTAAAAATAAAAGTACATTTTACAATTCAAAATGTCTGTATTTTACCCTACTAAAAATATGCCACACTCTTAAAATAAGATACAACTATATAATTTTAAGCTAAGATACAAAAATACAGTTTTTCTTTCATTAAAACAACAATTATCTTGTGTTACCAATTTAAACTAAGGGTAGGCCAAGGAGAACATGCTGATTAAATTAAAAGAGTGTCAGGCCAGGCATGGTGGCTCACGCCTGTAATCCCAGCACTTTGGGAGGCCGAGGCAGGTGGATCATGAGGTCAGGAGTTGAAGATCAGACTGGCCAACATGGTGAAACCCTGTCTCTACTAAAAAATACAAAAATTAGCTGGGCATGGTTGCTCATGCCTGTAATCCCAGGTACCTGGGAGGCTGAGAAAGGAGAATTGCTTGAACTGGGACCCGGGAGGCAGAGGTTACAGTGAGCCAAGATTGTGCCACTGCACTCCAGCCTGGGCTATATAGCAAGACTCCAACTCAAAAAAACAAAAACAAAAAAAGAGTGTCAAACTCCAGGCTTCTAACAGAAGGCTCATAAAGTCATGCTATCATCAACAATACTTAATCAACATACACATTAGAAACAACACATTTTCTGTATGTGATTAGTCTTACGTATTTGATGAGTTGATGTAAATAAGGAAATTTACTTTTCCTTTCATTCTGATAATGTCAGTTGTATGCCTCTTTCTAAAAATGAAAATCTGAAACCAAACACCAAAACAGTCAACTATTTCTTTACCTGAAGAATCACCTCTTCTAACTGACCACCTTGAAGTTGGTCTTCTAATTTTTGAACATCCGGTTCCTATAATTTCAAGGGGAAAAAAAATTAAACAAGCATACTATCTGAATGTTTTGATATCCTATATTTTAAAATTCCATATATAAAAATGCTTAAAAAATAAAATTTTTCTTTCATCATATTCTTACTTTTTACTAAATATTTGGTGAAAATTCATTTCACCTCTGCTACTTTTTGGCTTTTTTTGTCTTAATATTGAAAAGTGCTAATGTTTATTGACATGCTGATCAAGGGACAGAAATACGATGTCAAATTCAGTCTTTCTAAAACAAATTTTAAAATACCACTTTGCTTTCTTATTATTTCCTGTATTTCCTCTGAGAGCATTAGAATTAAAAATAAATGCTATCCTATGACCCAGAAATTATACTCCTAGGCATAACACCGAACAGAAATGCATAATACATTTTTTAAAAAACATGTTTGAGAATATTCACAGCAGAACAAATTATTGCCCCAAACTAGAAACAACCAAAATGACCATCTGTAATATAAGGGATCAATTAATTATAATATTTGGATATAATCCTACATAGTAATAAAAATGAATAAACTGTATGCAATAACAGATGATTCTCTTAACCATAGTATTAAGCAAAAGCTAGAGCACAGTATGTACAAGACAGTACATACTAATGATTCCATTTCTATAAAATTCAAAAACAGGCAAAAAGAAGTCCAAATAGTGATTAACTTTACACATAGTAAATTGAAGGGTAAGAAGCAAGGGTTTTGTTGTTCTGGAAAAGTCATTTTTTCTACACATTTTTAATGTGCATCATTCTTTAATAAAAGTTTTTAAAAACAAAATTTTAGTAAATATAGCACCTAAAACATTCGATGACATTGAATTGTTTTCTAGTAAAATGACCTTTTTGAGCCAGAAATTATGCTCTGTAAATATACCCACATACATAAATAGGTCTTTGTCATTTCAGGCCATTTTTCTGGCCCATAAATGGAATAAAGAGGGAGAAAAATAAATAATATATTTTGTTTTTCAACATAAGATTGATATGTTACTGCCTCAGTGTATTTGCTGGATGGCCCAGAGTATTTGCATGTCTGGTTCCTTCACTCCTTTCAAATCTTTGCTCAAATAACACCTTATTAATAACTACTAATAACTTATATTGTGATAGGCTAAATAATACCACAAAAGATATATAAGTATTAATTTCTAGAAACTGTGGTTGTTAACTTTATACAGCAAAGACTTCACAAATATGATCAAGTTAAGGATGCTGATATGGGGCGATTTTCCTGAATTATCCAGATAGTCCCTAACTGCAATTATAAGTGTCTTATAAGAGAGAGGCAGAGGGATATTACATACAGAAAATGAAAAGGCAATGTAACCACAAAGGCAGAAATTGCAGTGATGAGACCACAAGCCAATGAATGCCAAAAGCCACCAGAAGCTGAAAGAAGCAAGAACAGATTCTACCCCATATCCTCCAAAGGAAGCATAGCCCTAACACCACCACCTTGATTTGGGTCCCTGATGTTGATTTCTAACGTCTGGCCTCCAGAAATCTAATAAAATAAACATATATTTTTTTAAGCCACCAAGTTTGTGGGAATATTACAGCAGCCATAGAAAATTAATACATATTGTAACATCCCCCATCCCCACCATGGCACATATTTTCCTTGTTTTATTTTCCTTCACTACACTTACTATTTTGTAACACACCAGGTACTTCTTTACTCAATTTTTACTTTTTTTTTTTTCTTTTGGTCTCCCATCATTAACATGTAATCTCCATGAAGGCAAGGATTTTTATCTGTTTTGTTCAGTGCCAATTAGGCACAAGCCTCCATGCCCAGAATCACACATGGCATTTAACAGTCATTCAATAAATGTTTCTTGGTTAAATAAGTGAATAACTAAAACACAGTTCAAAGAGGAAAAAGAGGGTAAAAAGTAAATGAGCATGTTTAAGACAGACTTTTAACAGGGAATTAACTCAGATATGAGACCAAAAATAAAAAACAAAACAGGGAAGCTGGTCACTGTTATAAGAGACTCAGGAGAGTGAAAGTAAAGAAGGCAAGGAATGTTCAACAACACTTTCAATTTAGAAAAAGCCTGTGTTAGGCAATAATTCAAAATTTGTCTTACTGATAGTGAGTAATGTGATTTTTAGTCACCAATGGTATAATGCCATTAAGCTTGATACGGTACCATGTACAGAATGCTCACTATGTATTTGGGACTATACTAAGCTTTTTACATACATTACCTCATTCAGTTCTAACAAAAAGTGTTGAAGGTGGGTAATATTATATCCAACTATTAGATGATAAAATTGAGACAGAGAAAATGAGCAATATGCCAAGTCACTCCACAAATTATCAGAACTAAGATGAAAATCTTGGACAGGGACGCAAACCAACACTTTTCACCAAAAATGATATTACTATCTCCCTAGTCATAATCTGGAGGAAAAAAAAGGTACTTTTATTTCCACTTTAGGCTTAGTAAATAGGTATTTTATAATCATGGCAATATTCACTGAAGATTTTTGTGTGTGACTCTATGCAGGGTTAAAAGTCTGTGACAATTTTACCAAAAGCAGGAATCAGCGATACAACTATTATGAAGTGTTTGGGGTTGTATCTAGCCTTTTGGATAAAGAAACATTTCCAAGGAACCTTATGTGCCAGATACTATGCTAGATTCTTAGGGTACAAAGTTGAATACAGTATCATTCACAAGTAGTTTATGGCTGGTGGAGGCATAATACAGTGTGATAGGTACAATGGAAAAGAGTAAGGAAGTTGTGGAACTCTACTTAAGAAAGTAAGATAAGATTTCACAGAGGAAGTAATGGCTTATGAAGAAAAAGTAAGAACTACCACACAAGATAAAGGCATTCCAGGAAATCAGAAAATACAAATGAACAGAAAAAATACGCATGGAAACCACAGAACTGCCAGCAGTTTAGTACTGCTTAAGTATAGAGTATACAGTTAGTATACAGGAAGCAACAGGATAGGATTGAGAAAATAACTAAGAGCCAGAACACGGAGGGCTTTCTATACCATGCTAAGGACTTTATCCCTTTAAGACAATGGTTCCCAAACATGGCCATACCTACATCAAAATCATGCAGATAAAGGTAGCTAAGTAAGTTTCATACAAGCAGCTCCACATAAATCCTTAAACTCAGCCTTTGAGAAACAGTGAACAGAAAATCACAGTAAGATTTTACGCAAGACAGTACAGTTGGCCCTCAGGATCCACATCTGTGGATTCAACCAAGAACGGATTCAACCAACCACAGATGGAAAATATTTTTAAAAACACAATAAAAATAACAATACAGCAATTTTTAAAATACAGTATAACTACTTACATGGCATTACATTGTAGTATGTATTATAAGTAACCTAGAGATGATTTAAAGTATAAAAGAGGATGTGCACAGGTTATATGCAAATACCATGCCATTTTTATATAAAGAACTTGAGCATCCCTGTATTTTGATATCCATGGGAGTCCTGGAACTAATCCCTCATGGATACCAAGGGACAACTGTACCATCATAAGATTTACATATTAAAAAAAAAAATCACTCTATTATTGTCTGTGCGGTGGAGCATGTAATGAAGTATAATTAAATTACAAACAGAACAATTAGTTATAAGGTGGTATAAACAGCAGAATAAAGCATTTTAGAACCAGTAAGTAAAGAAGTAAGAGGGTAAACTCTTCTTTGGTTGAAACTGGCTATGGGTGAAAACAGAAAAATAGGAGAATAAGTAAAGGAAAATATAAGCATATAGTTTTTTCTCTTTTAAGATAGAAACAAGTTAAAAACATTTGAGACTATTTGAAAGATGATGATAAAATGGGAGAGGCACCCGGTGCAGGTGGCTCATGCCTGTGATCCCAGCACTTTGGAAGGCTAAGGTAAGAAGATCACTTGAAGCCATGAGTTCGAGATCAATTAGGGCTACACAGTGAAACTCTGCCTCTGTAAAAAATTTTAAAAATTAGTTGCATGGTGATGAGTGCCTGTGGTCCCAGCTACTTGGGAGGCTGAGGTAGGATACTGCTTGAGACTGGCTATGATCATGCCACTGCACTCTAGGCTGGGTAACAGGCAGAGATCCATCATATAACACAATACAAAATACAATATAATACAAACTGCATTGTTTTGTTGTATACCTAAGAGGAGATAGGAATTCTCTTTGAACTATATAGTCTGGTAATCTAATGAGAAGAAATATATGTGACTAGAGTCGCTTATACCTTCAAGATTTCTAAACACTGTTTTAGATAATACCAGTAAGTCCATGAAATGACTGCTTGTGTGAAATTTTAACAATAGTGCAATATGGTTTGGTATGAATCGCAGTCTAGTCTTTTATTAACTGCTACTTAGTAACAGTCTAGTCTTTTGACAGTTTTATTTGAAAGAAAAAAAAAAAAAGCCCCTTTTTTGCTTTTATTGGTCTCCAAGATTAGAAAAAGGAGATCAAAATTGATATATCCATAGATAAGCAGCAAAAGGACTAAATAGGGAAGAAAGGTGAAAGGAACAACTACAATGTTACTTCAAGGAAGGGCCTGATCCTAGTGTCAAACTCCAATATATTTTAGAGCCCTGCATATAGAAAACACTCACTAAACAAGAGTTGTTTGCTGAATAAAAGGGAGCAAAGACGGGAAAAGAGCACTGAAAGAAGAAGAGAAGAAAAGTGGGTAGAATATACAAAAAATTAGGAACCAAATTTTTTGGTTAAATGTTACACTGGATACCACAAATCCAAGAAAACTGATTTAGCTACTTACCGCTTTAACCATAGCCAGCTTCTCATTTATAATCTGTTCTGTATATTTTCTATATGCTGCATTTTTAGGGATATCCTCAAGAACATCAAGAATCTTTGTGTACAATATTCTTAGCCTCTGAAAAGACAAACCATACAAATATCCATAGGTTAAAATATTACCAAAGACTTAATGGAATAAGACTCATAGACAAAACAAATAAAACTCACTTTTGTTTTTTTTTTTTTTAATTAACTCTTCTTTGCTGTGACTTCTTTATGTCTGTGCCCTATCTACAACCTTTACAACTTAGGAAAAACCTGTATATAAATGTGGGAACTTTCTGTATTTTCTACGTATAACAAGTTCTAGATAAGTCAAGAGTATGATAACAAGTAGAAACAAAACTAACTTATTGCTAATGACCTTTTTGGAAATCAAATCATTTACTAAATCAGTATCTTTCTTTCTTTCTTTCTTTCTTTTTTTTGAGACAGAGTTCCACTCTTGTCACCCAAGCTGGAGCACAATGGTGTGATCTCAGCTCACTGCAACCTCCACCTCCCGGGTTGAAGCGATTCCCCTGCCTCATCCTTCCAAGTAGCTGGGATTATAGGCTATAGGCACCCACCACCATCCTGGCTAATTTTTGTATATTTAGTAGAGATGGGGTTTCACCATATTGGCCAGGCTGGTCTCAAACTCCTGACGTTAGGTGATCCACCCACCTCAGCCTCTCAAAATGCTGGGATTACAGGTGTGAGCCACTACACCCAGCCTGAATCAGTATTTTTCAAAGTGAGGCCCTAGGCACTGAAAATTCTCTTTTTTTTTTTTTTTTTTTTTTTTTTCAATTTTTCTTATTTGAATTTCTGTGCAAATAAACATTTACATATAAGCATTACATCAGTATGACCAAATGTAAGTAAATACAGTCATAATACTTCAGTGTTCTTGCTTCTGATTATGAATGTGTTACAACATAAAGTCCACATAAAAGGTTCAACAGAAAAGTGGCAAGAGAATTGAGTCAATGCATAGCATGTATTGAAGCACACTGAACTTAAACTTCAGTATAGAAGTTAATCCCTTAGTAAGAAATTGTTTTGACGGACCCTTACAAGAGTCCATAAGTAGTAAATACATATATAATGAATTTTTATTTTTTCTTAATATTTTAGATTTAATTGTATGATAGTCACAGAAGCTAATACCTAGTTTAATTTACTTACACACACACACACACACACACACACACACACACACACACAATTTTTAAGGGGCTTTCTAAGAATTGATTTTCTTAAAAAGCAATCTGAATATTTAACCATTATTTATTTATATATTTAATATGGTGTTCCATAATAGAGTACTTCACTATACTAATGTAAAGCTTGTCAGGTAATACATAATCAAAATTGTATGGGTTCTGAAGTTTTATTTTTGACTGACACAAAATAATTATATGTATTTATGGGTTTCAATGTGATGATTCAATATATGCATGTGTTGTATAATAAGCAAATCCATCACCTTAAACATTTTTCTTTGTGGTGTGAACATTCAAAATCCTCTCTTCCAGCTATTTTGAAATACAGCATACATTATCGTTAACTATAGTCATCCTACCGTGCAATAGAACACCACAACTTATTCCTCACAACACACATTTTATCCACCGACATGTGGGGTTCTTTTAACCTCATTTCTTAATTTTAGAAAATGGTATTAACAGTAGAAAGTCCTGGTGAAGAGACATGGGTTCTAAGTATTTATTCCTTTTCTATTTCTGCAACCATTGTGTGCAGATATAACTACTGGAGCCTATTAACAGTCATTTGTGCATTCTATTTTACCACATGTTGTTTTCATTATGTTCTATAATAAACATCAAGTCATCACAATTATTATGTGTTCCCTGCAGTCAATACACACAGATAAAAAGAAGAAAGTACATCACACATAATCCCAACTCCCTAAAACAGCTTTTTAATATCCTAGTTATTTTTAACAAAATGTTTTACAGGAAACTAAGGCAGGAGGATCACCAAAGGTCAGGAGGTAGAGGTTGCACTGAGCAGAGACTGCAACACTGCAACACTGCACTCCAGCCTGAGCAAGAGTAAGACCCGATCTAAAAAAAAAAAAAAAAAAAAAAAGGAGAGAAAGAAAAGAAAAAGAAAAAAATATATATTTTAGCAAAAAGAAAAGTGGATTTACATATTAAAGTTTGGTAAGTATATATTTTATTCTTATCTTCCTACTATAAATAGACAATGCATATACAATTTTTTTAAAGTATCTTAATGCAAAAGTTTTAATCTGATTTAAACTGTTAATTTATAAATACTTTTATTCTTATCCTCTCCAATTTAAATATGTAATACATATACTAGTTTTTAATATAGCATTTTAATTAAGTTTTTATCTGACCTAAAATTCAGGTTTTTAATTTTAATTTTCATTTTTCCTAACAAAAATATATCAGTTTCTAGAGAAATATGGATGAAAACAGGAAATGCTCAATATAGAACAAATAAAAAAAAATGTTATGAATAGGGTAGACATTTAGTTTATCATCCAAACTTGGACACTTATGTCAGTGAAACAATACCTATTAATCATTATGCTAAAATATAGGTATAAACCAGAACAGTCAAAACAAGATATGATCCCTTCAAGGTATAAGTCTTTCAATAATTATAAGTATACAAATGCTTCTCCTAAAGAGCAGTTTTTTGTTGTTGTTGTTGTTTTTCAATAAAAAAATGTATGCAGTCTTAATAAGGGAACAGCGGAAAGCAAAAATAAAAAGCAGATAAAGTGTAAGTCTGCCTTTCTTCAAGGTCCAGGTCACATAGTCCTCCTGCACAAATAACTCACCATCTTCCTGTGCCCAGCTATCACCAGACCCTCGCCTGACAGAAAAATGCAAGTTAGCTCATTGCAACCAAGGTGTTATCAGTACTGCACGAAGACTTCTTCAGCACACAGCACAAGCACCATCTTTTAAGATCCCCAGCAAGCCTTTGCTACTTGCAATCAACTCCTCTTTTGCTGATTTGCCAGTAGCTTTTTTGCAATGTATTTTCATACTTTCTCTAATAAATCTGCCTTTCCTTACCTCAACTATCTCGGTAAATTATTTTTACCACCACTTAACCAGCCCCAGACAGTCACTACCAGTGGCAAAATGTACTTAGTACTCCCATGCACAATACTACACTGTTTGCATATAAAGATAGGCTGGACATGGATCACACTCCAATATTTTTAAGGTACTATAGGGTATACTTGTCTGTACTCATGCTGCTAACAGAGACATACCCAAGACAGGATGATTTATAAAGGAAAAGAAGTTTAATGAACTCACAGTTCCACATGGCTGAAGAGGCCTCAAAATCATGGCAGAAGGTGAAAGAGGGGCAAAAAGCACATCTTACACGGCAGCAAGCAAGACAGCGTGTGCAGGGGAACTGCCCTTTATAAAACCACCAGATCTCATGAGATTTCATCACTATCACAAGAATAGCACAAGAAAAACCCTCCCCATAATTCAATTACCTCCCATGACATGTGGAGATTATGGAAGTTACAATTCAAGACGAGATTTGGATGGGGACAGAGCCAAACCATATCACAGGATAAGATACTGAAGAAGAAAAATAATAAAAATGATAAAAAGAAAAAATAAGTTTGTGTTTGGCAGGGATGAGGAAATACATAGAGCAAAGAGATATTATAATACTTAGCAACAGTTAAGGGTGTGCTAACCGGAATCTAACTGCTTGAGTTTATACTGGCTCCACTCCTTAGGTGCACTGGAGAAGTTATTTCCCTCTCTGTACCTTCATTCCTCATTTATAAGACGGGAATGATAATAATACTTCCTCATAGGGTATATATAACTTAGAACAGTACCGGGTACACATTGTTTCACTAAGTATTGGCATTATTCTTCTGTAATAGAAGAATTCACTTCAGCTGAGACCAGAGAAGGTTCACATTTTGAAAAGGTAGCATTTAAGATAGACCCAGAGGGATGATAGATCATATGTTGGAAAAGGCAATTACATACAGAATATATAGAATTGAATGGCAGAAAATACAGGGAAGTGGTATATAGTTCTATTTTCTTGAACTGTGCTGTCCAAAACACTAGCTACTAGTTAAATATGCCTATTGAGCACTTGATATGTGGCTAGTCCAAACTGATATCAGACTTTGAAAATTTAGTATGAAGAAAACACTATAAAATATCATTAATTTTTTTGATTATATACCAAAACGGCAATATTTTAGATGTGTTAGGGTAAATAATTAAATTTTACCTTTTTCTTCATTAAAAAATTAGTCCAAGATAATTTTAAATTACATAAAAACATGGCTTACATTTAATGCTCGAATATTTTTATTGGACAGCATTTGGTTAGAATACAGTAGCTCCCCCTTGCCCCTCTGTGGTTTCATTTTTCAAGGTTTCAGTGACTAACAGTCAACCTCAGTCAGAAAATATTAAACATGGAAATCCGTTATCAGTGTATAGGTGGTATTTAAAACCATTTTCTATCTGGATTTGCTCTCTCTTGGTGGCTGAATACAGGTCCAAAAGAAAAGGTCCAAGAATTAAATCCCAAATAACTCAAATTTTAAAGTGGGCATAAGAGAAATAACCAGAAAAAGAGAAAGCCAAAGAGTAGGGGAAAAAATCAGAAGACTGGGAGTGTCCTGAAGCCCAGTAAAGAAAGCGCATGATGGAAAAAGTGTCAAATATGTCCAAAAAAAAAAAAAAAAAAAAAACACTGCTATTAGGTCAATGAAGGTGAGAAATTTGAGCTGACCATTAGATTTGGCAGTATGGAGATCACTGGTGACCTTGAAAAGAGCAGTTCTCGCCAAAGGGGACTGAGTGCATTCAAGGATGAATAACAAACTGGAGAAAACAGATAACTCTTTTATCTATAAAGTGAGAGAAATGGTGCGATTATAGAAGGGACAAGAAGAATCAAAAATTTTTGTCTTTTTTTTTTTTTTTTGACAAAAGCATTTGTGAATACAGATGGAAAAGACCCAAATAGAAGAAAAAGGGGAGCAGTACCTTCATTACGCTCAAATACATGTAATCCAACCTACCAAAGCAAGAAACGGTGAGGCGGGGAGAAAAGGTGGAAAATGGAGATAAAAATGTGAGATGTCGCTGATAAAAGCATGTATAAGTGAAGCCACGAGAATGTCAAGGAAAAAGCCAACAAGAAAACTCGCTTAATAAAGAGGTCATGGCAAAAATGAATAAATAAAAATGTGACATCAGATGAACGAAGTAGGTGGATAGCATCTGTGTCTCAAGAGCTCACGCGGGTTGTAATTTGGCCTTTAAATATCTGTATCCCATTAATCTTGCAATAAGCAAAGTGGCAGGGATTTGGTTTTCCTTGGGAACCCAGGAACGAAGAAAGAACAAAGGTACATACCTCGTGTGGAGTATTGCACACAGCCAATCCCACAAGGCCAGTGGTCTGTTCAAAAACAAAACACGATTCATGCCGTTTACTACGGTTTCCATACGTTCAGCACGCTAAGGAGATACAAAATCACGAATTCCCCTGGCTAAAGCTGGTCTAAAGCCAGCTGCTAGTCTCTCAGTCCCGCTTGTTTGGAGCTTTTTCTCTTGACTCTCCGAGCGGAGCCACTAAGCTGTCCTATCGGGTAGGGCATACAGAACGAGTCCCCTTCAAGGACCGTCAGGCCTGCGGCAGTTAGGGTTAACACCCGCGGGAAATGGGGCTATCGTGCTGCCTAACCCCACAAACTAAATTCCACCAGTGACCCCCGTTCGGCTCACCTTCTTCAGCACACCCGCCATGACAGCGCCGACGAGTCGATGACGCACAGCCCTCTGGGAACAAAGACCAGACCTGCTCAATCGACTACCGAGGTCGCCACTCTGTCACCCTGGAAACAGCTTAGCTCCACCCACTCAGGATCGCCAAAGGAGCAAAGACTCTGCTCCGCCCATCCTGAAAGAGAAAAATTGACGCTTGCGCGATGGGCTCACAGGCCTAGAGCTAAGCTTGAAGACGACTGGGGAAAGGGTTTTCAGGTGTCTGCTGCTGTCCCTGCCAGTGCTTACGGCTTGCCCAAAGATTGAGAGAAACATCCCCAACTACCAAAAAACTCCAGCCGCCGTAGGAACCTGCACTCTGCTTAACCGCTGATCCATTTCTCAATCTTCCTTTCTCAGTTTAGTAAAATGAGGATGGTAACGGAGCTTGAGCATCCTCTGAATTGATCTCCCAGCAGCAAAAGTTAGTTCTTCGCACAGGGATATCAGTAGTCTCTGTGTCTTACGAACCAAAGCCGTATGCAGTGTGAGGTCATTTTCCATCGCTGTTTTCGATTTCACTGGCTGAAGCACATCATCCGTTTTCTCATTTTTCCGGTTGAAGTAATATCAGACCTTCCCACTTTTTCCTACCTCCACAAACATTGAGCACTCACTATGTGTCAGTTACTGGGACATAATTTCTAAAATGGGATTTCACATCCTGCAATTCACGTAATAATGAAGAAGGTGTGTATTAATTACTAATTTGGTAACTGTTCTAAAAGAAGTTGGTGCAAAGTGTGATGGTAGCAGGGAAAAGGAAAACTAAAAAGTGTGGGTGCCTGGAGTTAAAGAAGTCATTTTCTAAAAAGTCAGTAGGAGAAAAGAACAAATTGAGAAAAACACAAGTACAAAGGAAAAGAGGTTAAAAATGTATCTGTAAATTCCAGGTGAATTTATGTGAGTGGAAAGTTGGATTTGATTGTTAAGGTAAACTAGTTAAGATCATTAAAGGTGTTGTTTGCCATTCTACAAATTTGAGTTTTACTTTGTAAGGAATGAGAACAATGATAAGACGTCTAAGCTTCCAGATGACAACATCAAATTTGTGTTTCAGATACACAGACAACTTTAGCAACAGTTGAAGAGAATGAATTGGAAGAGGTGAAGTCTTTCATTAGAGGTGTGAGACTAGAAAAAAAGAAGGCCGGGCGCGGTGGCTCAAGCCTGTAATCCCAGCACTTTGGGAGGCCGAGGCGGGTGGATCACGAGGTCGAAAGATCGAGACCATCCTGGTCAACATGGTGAAACCCCGTCTCTACTAAAATACAAAAAAAACTAGCTGGGCGTGGTGGCGCGTGTCTGTAATCCCAGCTACTCAGGAGGCTGAGGCAGGAGAATTGCCTGAGCCCAGGAGGCGGAGGTTGCGGTGAGCCGAGATCGCGCCATTGCACTCCAGCCTGGGTAACAAGAGCGAAACTCCGTCTCAAAAAAAAAAAAAAGAAAAGAAAAAGGAAAAAAAAAAAAGAAAACTAAACCAAAAGCAAATAGAATAAAAGAAATAATAAAGATTAGAAAATAAATAGAGTATCAATAAAGAAAATCAATGAAACCAAGAGTTGTTTCTCTGAAAAGATCAACAAAATTGGCAAACCCCAGTGAACTTTTGTTTTAAAGTGAGAGGTTTGCAACTCTTCCTTTCACATGAACACTTAAAAGCCCTTGTAGCATTATTAATTGGCCTAATTTCAACATTGTTGTATCTCAGGGAATATGGAGGCCAGAGGAGAGGGAGAGAGATAGAACAGCTACTCGATGGAGCAACCAGAACACACATACATTTAAGTCATATAAGGGTGTGGTTTGTTGAACTCTAAGATACAACACTAACATTAAAGATCAGTAATTACAGATCACCATAGTAGATAAGGAAGAAGTTTGAAATATTGTGAGAATTTAGCAAAATGGGGACACAGAAGCATGAAGTGAGTCAGGCTGTTGGAAAACAGTGCTAATAGACTTGCTTGTTACAGAGTTGCCACAAGCTTTAACTTTGCAAAATATCTGCAAAGTAAAATAATATAGCAAATTACAATAAAATAAGATATGTCTTTTATACATATACATTATCACAGTATCCTAGAGCCAGTAGTAGTTATCAGCCTAGTAGCTGTTATCACAGTATCCTAGAGCCAGTAGACATAGAGGAGGCTAAATGACGAGGGTCCCAGAGCCACAGGCACCTCTCTAAGGGTTTTAAACAAGAAGCACCAGGATTGAGATGTATGCTTAGATGCCACGTCACGGGAAGTGTGAAGAAGGAATCTGCATGTGGCGGGACTGTGAGCAGGAAGACCCAGTACAAATGTCTATAAAATGAAACAAAATCTATCAAAAAAACAGGTTGCTGAATTTGCCTACAGTAACACTCTATACTGCTGAATAACAAAATACACACTTAAATCGTAAAACAACACAGACTAGGAGAAGATATCTGCAACCCATATAACCACCAAAAAACAGGTGGTGCCTAGAATATTAAAGGAACTTTTGTAAATCAATAAAACAACAGCAAGAAAAGAATTCCCTAAGCAGGTCTCTCTGCTTCCACTTTTGCCTCCCTCTCTAGTATGCATTAAATGAGTTATATGTATATGTCTGACGCAGTATGTGTCATATAGCAACACCTACTTGACTACTATTAATTTATTATTTTACTGTTTTTATTCTCAACCCAGTAGCTGGAATAGTTCTTTTAAAAAGTACTTTGCTTAAAATTCTCCTATGACTTCTTTTTTACTAAAGGTATAAAAGTCAAAGTCCTTATACCTTGCAGTCCACAAGGCCCTGCCCCTCACTCTCAGACCTAATCTCCTGTATTAGTCAGGGTTTCCCAGAGAAACAGAACCAGTGGGAGATTTCATGTATGTATACACACACACACACACACACACACACGTATACACACATACACACACATGAAATACCCCTATATTTATGAGAGAGATATATATATAAATTACCCCACATATAGGATACATATATATATATATATATATATATATATATCCTATTGTGTGTGTATATATACACACACACATATATACAGATGATCTCCAAGTTACAATGTTTCAACTTATGATTGTTTGACTTTAAGATAGGTTTATTGGGACATAACACTATAAGTCAAGGAATATCTGGACTTACGATTGTTTGACTTATGATTTCTTAACTTTGTGATAGTTCATTGGAGTATTAAATGGATTTTTAACTTATGATATTTTCAGTTTTATGATGGGTTTATTGGTATACAGCCCCATTGTAAGTTGAGAAGCATCTGGACAATACACACACATGCGCGCACACACACACACATACACACACACGTACATATTAACATGCACACACACATACATGTAGAGAGATTTATTATAGAAATTGGCTTATACAATTACAGAAGTTGAAAAGTCCCACAATCTGTTGTCTGCAAGCTAAAGAACTAGGAAAGATGGTGTTGTAATTCAGTCCAAGCTTAAAAGTCTGAAAACCAGGAGAGCTAATGACATCAATCCTGGTCAGAGTCCAAGAGCAAGAACACTAATATTCAAGAGCAGAAGAATACAGATGTCTCAGCTCAAACAGGGAGAGTGAATTTACCTTTCTTCTGTCTCTTTGTTCAAGCCTTCAAGGGATTGCATGATGTCCACCCCATTGGTGAAGGTAATCTTCTTTGCCTTATTCTATAAATTCAAATGCTAATCTTTTCTCTAAACATCATCAAAGGTAATGGACACATCAGAAATGTTTTACCAGCTATCTGGACATTCCTTAGCTTATTTTATACACACACACACACACACACACACACACACAGAGAGAGAGAGAGAGAGAGAGTTTTGGGAAAAACAATTTGCTTTAGGTTTCCCTAAATAACATACATTTTTACATATCCTATTTGCTCTGTTTCACTGGGGAACCATAATACAAATTGTTTCCCCAAAAATTTATATGTTGAAGTCCTAACCCCCATTACCTCAAAATGTGACTTTCAGGCTGGGCATGGTGGCTCACACCTGTAATCCCAGCACTTTGAGAGGCTGAGGCGGATGGATCACTTGAGGTCAGGAGTTCAAGATCAGCCTGGCCAACATGATGAAACCCCATCTCTACTAAAAAAAGCAAAAATTAGCTAGGCATGGTGGCACAAGCTTGTAGTTCCAGCTACTCTGGAGGCTGAGGCAGAAGAATTGCTGGGACCCAGGAGGCAGAGGTTGCAGTGAGCTGAGATTGCACCACTGCACTTCAGCCTGGGTGAAAGAGCAAGACTCCATCTCAAAACAAAACAAAACAAAACAAAACAAAAAAACCACAGTGACCTTCACTGCAAATAGGGTCACTGCAGATGTAATAAAGTTAAAGTGAGATCATTAGAGTGAGACCTTATCCAACGTCAATGGTATCCTTGTTAAAAGTGAAAATTTAGACACAGAAACACACACTCACAGGGAAACCACTATGCAGAGATGAAGGCAGAGATCAGGGTGATGCATCTGCAAGCCAAGGACCACCACAGATTGCCAGAAAACCACCAGAAGTTAGAGAAGAGGCATGGAACCCACTGTTTCTCTCAGCGCTCAGAAGGAACTAACACTGTCCACACCTTGATATTGGATTTCTAGCCTCCGGAATTATGAGATAATAAATTTCTGTTGGTTAAGGCACTCAATTTGCAGCAACTAATACCCTGAGTAACAGATTAGTTTAATAATATGCTTCTCTCTTCCTTAGGATAGCTGTCCCTAGAAACATGAACCATGGAGATACAGCTTTTCCAATTCAGATTACTGAAAAGTAGGCCTTTACCAGATTACCATCATAATTTTTAATTTCTAGTATTTAAAACATCCACAATTATAACTTAGGACAGAGGAAGTACTTATTCACAAACATATATGTACTAACAACATTTTAAAGATATGCACATGTGCATATGTATATACGTACATACATAAATATGAAGAAAATATTACATTGGAATTAATCACCTGATGCATCCATTTGCTCCTCTGTGAAGTGACCTATGTATTTGGATACCTTAAGTCACTCTGTCACT